CGTCGATGGCCCGTATACACCCCGTCTTCAACATCGCACTCCTAGAACCCTGGAACGAACCCTTTGAGTTCACTAAGTTCAAACCAGGACCGATCCAGATACCAGAAGATGTCTCCGCAGGAGACAGATACGAGGTAGAAGGCATCCTGGAACACAGGGAGACCACGGCAAGAGGCCGGGAATACAAGGTCAAGTGGCTGGGATGGCCAACCCAGGATTGCACCTGGGAACCGGAAGACCACTTGGACAACTGCGAGCAAATCCTCGCAGAATACATGGCCAACCCAAGGGACGTATCACGGGCACGCGGCGGGAGCCGTACGGCCCAAGGACGGCCCATGGCCACGCCAACAACTCGTCGCCAGACCCGAGGGTCTGAGAGAGGGAGGGGACGCAAGGGGAAGCTGTGAGCAACCCCATGTCATGCGCAAAGTAGAAAGCATTACTAGGACAACAAAACCAAGTTCTTAGAAGAAGATGTCATTCTACAAATACACTACGAACCCCAGAAGAACCACCAGAGACCTCAGTTACCCTCGGGGAAGTCACCAGCTCCTCCCATCAGGGCATTAGAGGAACGACGTTCGGAGTTGTAACGGCGCTTAGTCGGGGAGCTGCCGGCCTCACTCACATTCAGATATGGCGCCTGAACCTCATGACCGCCCGGAACCTCACGACCATAGTAGTACCAGCGCTTCTCTCGTCCTGACGCGGTACCATCCTTGGAGAATGAAGCCCTCTCAAGGCCAGCGTCCACCACAACATTGGAAGGCGCGTTCAAACCCTGAGAACCCAAGCCAGCAGTATAGCGCTCAAGGTTGAAGGTGCGGGAGACTTGACGCGCCTTGGCCCACTCAACGTCGGACATCTTGGAGCGGGTAATCTCACGCTTGACCTGGGCGGCATGTTCGGAGAACGCGGTACGGAGCTCCTTCGCGTAGTCGAAGGCCCGCTTCCAGTACTCGCGGATGTTCTCGTCGGCGTCGAACATCTCCTGCTCTTGTCCCTCCGAGTAGCTACCATCCCTCATGGCGTTGATGCTCTTGCGGGTAGCGTAATCGACGAGGTACATGAGCAGGTTGACGGCGCGGCGGAAGGGAGGATCAACCTGTAAGACATTAGCAAGGACCATTGCGATGGCAACCAGCACTTACAGGAGAACAACCCGACTTATGAGCCTCACGACAACCACTGCAGACACCATAGGAGCTGTTGCGCTTGCAGAACTCGTCCTCCATGAAGGCCCGGGCAAATCCCTTCACAGTCCCGTCGCTGACCCCGGGCTTGCTGACGGTAACCAGCGCCACAAGGCAAGACTGGCAGGCGAACCTCACCAGCTGAGGCTGGGCTTGCAGGTGCTGAGGCAGGTTATAGATGTGGGACGGGATGCTGCTCGAAGGGACGGCGCCGGAGATGGTGCTGGCGTGGATGGTCATTGTGGTGTTGATGCGGTAGACTGTTGTTGTCGTTGTGATGAAGGTTGGATGCAGAAAAGATTCCAAAACACTGCAACTTATACCCTATCACCTCGCGCTCTTACATGCCCGAGGGGTCTCCGTAGTCGCAGCGGTGCCTCACCGCTTGCCTCACTATGGGGTCGCAAACACAGCAAAATGCGCTCAACACCCTAACAACACCACGCAAACACTGAGCTACGTGCTGGACAGTTACAAGACAAACAGGCTAAACACCCCATCATTCACCGCGGTGAAGCTGGGAGATAGCTAGGTAATGTGGCTGCGGCCATGGCAACCCGAAGTGCGCGGAGCATAGTAAGATTTTTTCCTCATAGAGGTTTTTCACATGCCCCCAGCGTTTGGGTCGCGGGATGACAACGGGCAGTGATCGGACCAACGCCGACAGCGACACGGTGACGTGAAGCGCGGACGGGCTCTAAGCGTAAAAGTATTGCGCTGACATTGCAAAGACCGTTGTGAGAGTCGGGACGACTCTCAAGAAGGGGGGGGGCTATTGTCACGATGTTCCATCACCACAGGATTCCAGCCACAGACTGGTGAGCCACCGGGAACCCTTCGGGGCACCGTCGGATCACACCAGCCACAATCACGTGACGTAGGTATATATCATCCCTCTGAGAGGCTTGATAGCTCCTCAAGGATTCGTCTCAATACAAGCCTATACCGATATCTTAGTGCCTGCCCAACTACTCCTCACAACTAAGTAAATACAAACTCTAGCTCTCTAGCCCCTTAAGACAAAACAACATATTCTACTAGCCTAATTCCTTTATCTTTAGATCTCTTAGCTATGTGCTAACAGGGACCTTAAACTTCTTCTCTACAACATTAACAAAGCCTACCTACGTAATTATTGTCACGGCGCTGACCTAGATAGCCTATTAGAGCGCGCCAAGCTGCTAAGCGAGCAGCTGCGCGATCGCTGAAATTCCTGCGCGAACGCGCCCTGTCGTACGCTCCTTGAGCTACGTCCTTGTCTTAGCCTGACCCCGTACTATCAGCGATATCGTAGTGAATATACTAATCACGTGCACCTACCTTCCCTGCCTGCCGACCCCGTGACATCTAGGGGTCTTTTGCAAGCTAGGTAGTATAGAAGGGGAGGAGCTTCTAGGAAAGACTGCGATGTAGCGCTTAGACAGTCGAGTTAGATCGCTGTTCTAGATAAAGAAGAGGAGGCCTTCTTCTTAAGTGAGGGAGGGATGTAGTAGAGAATCTAGGGGAACTGCAGATCTAAAGGGCTATCGGGCTTGGAGATAACACAGAGAGTAGAAAAGGGACAGGAATGTCTAAACCCTGTTCAGACAACGAACACTACACATACAACACATACAATATACTCTTCTCACTTGCATTAAGCACACGTTCCGATAGAGAACTACTAGAACACTCTACTATAGTAAGACTGTCTGTACGCTTGACAAAGTTGCGCGGCTAGTAGACGCCAACTTGGCCTGCGCTGCGCGTAGCCAGCAGCTTATTAGCTATATCGCGCACAGCTGCGTACGTAGGCGGAAATTCACGTTAGTTAAGATTAAGTATATAGCTAACTACTACCTCCTCCTCTAGCTAGGTAAGCTGTGATGGGCTGGAGCCCAGTTGGTGAGTCCTCGATGATATCTCGGTCACGTGCGCGAGGCGCACTGTCCACAGATTCCGGGTGCCCCTCTAAGCACCCGGATTCTGTGCAAGCGAGCCCGGCGGAAGGTTATCCCGAGCCGCCGCCCCCTGAACGACCTTCAGAACCCTAGCTACCTGTAGTTCTCTTCTCTATCGAATACAACTCCAGTATACCTGTGCGATAGCTCCCTGAGCGTAGCCCCTTACATAAGCTTCTTTAAGTTGGGCTGGCAATCGCGTCGAGCAGGCTTGCCAGCGCGTCGGTCGCGCAGCGTCGTACGAGGGACATTAAAGGTCTAAGCAGCTGCTCGTACAGACTTTATCTGACGCCTATTAAGAGATAAGATAGTTATCTGTATATTAGCTTCAGATGAGCGTGCTAGAGCTTGTTGGTGTCGAGGCATAATTAATTTAAGCTGTAAAGGTGATTAAATTTGGTGGGGTGGGCGCCTCGCTTGTACGGGCGACTCGCTTGTGAAACATGTTAGTGGGTTCAAAAGCGAGATGAATTGAGGTGGGGTCCGCATCGGGTGACCGTGCGCATCGGGTGGCCGATCACGGTAAGATGTTGGCGGTTGAAAACGCCCTGACCGCATGAGTCGACGTTGGCGCGAACACCTCAAGTTCTGACACATGTTAGTTCCAAGCCACGAGAAGCGATTTGCACGCTTGGAAACCATGACATTTCGGGCGCTCCCATATGGCAGCCTCGCTCAATCGAAGTTGCATCGGGGGAGAAACTCGACGAGCCTTATGCGCGCTGCATATCGAAAGAAGAGTAACAGCGTCAATGTCTGATGCCTAGCGGCCACACTCACCAGATGCAGTTGCTGTTGCGTCAAGACGGAGTCTCGACAAATCCTCCATATTAATTATCGGGCGCTGCAGTCGCGGTTTTGCACATGCATGTATGCTACTTCTACAAGGGAAAGACCACTCACACGAGCTTGCGCATTTGTAACACTCGGTCTTCAACATCAGCGCATTACATCGTGTGATCTTGTTGCGGCCGACTTTAAATTGCCCTTGCCTCGGTACCTTCGTTGCGCGAAACCGAGATTAATAGGGGGCCTGAACGGAACGATTTGACTATTAACGACTTGACATTCGCCCGCCTTAGACCTTAGACCGGTAGGCACAGCTCGGATCGAGCTTAGCGGCAATGAGAACGAGCCCCCTGCATCTGCCTAATTATTTTTCTTTGAAAGTCAAGTAGGCTTCACCCATAGATCTAACAATCGCTCAGGCTGCGAGACTTGCGACGGAATCCGATGTCAAGCGCACACACAAGCAAAAGGCGATGCCACATGACATCGCCTGTCGCGCCATCGACTTGCGAATCTAAACAATTGGTACATTTAGCCGCTGACAGGATTGAAACTGTAACATGTGTCAATTAAGCACATTTCCACCATGGACTTTCCAACTACCAGGTGTGGATGCCGCGCCTTGGCCATGATCTCATCTACCAATTGCACGCTTCATGGCCTCGATGTGGAACCAGGCGGCCTTACAACAAGCGAAGTTGGGGTCTTTTCACCCAAGCAGGGGTCTCGGACGCCGGCCTTCCTTTCTGAGGTCACCGATGGGATGCCTTCCACTTCTTCGCTGTGATTTCCCGCCTTAGCCGTGATGTAAGAGAAAAACATGTCGCCTTGAAAGGGTGGCATTCTCCTGACTCTCGACCCGTGACCCTTTTATGTCTTGCATCTGTCGCGCATCACTTCCTACTCTTCATTTTGTTCTTCGTTCTCGGGCTCAAAACGTTCGTTCATTGTGCGGCACAACACCCATTTCGGTCTTACGATACAGTAAATTGTGTGGCAGTCGCGCTCACACATCCGCTCGCTCGCTCACTCAAAACTCGACCATATATAGTTATCGACTGGCCAGATTCGCACAATGCGCCCCTCCATCGCTGTCGCGGCTGCCGCGGCTCTCACACCTTGCGTAAAAGCTCATGGTGGCCTTAGGCTGCCCCAAATTCATGGACTCGTCGATTCTCTTGATCGAAGGGTTGATGCACTAGTCGCCAGCTTCAGGACTGAAACTCTTGGCATCAACTCACACGTAGAATCGGTCTTGGAGGCACGCGCAAGTGCCAAAGAATGCGGCGAGGGGATTGGATCGTGCGCTGAAGACAGAGGCTGCTGCTCAACAGCTGGCTGTACGTAGACTGAGCACTATAACGATGGTGTACTGACACTGGCAGACTGCGGCTCCAATTCTAGTTATTGCTACTCTCCCGGCTGTCAGTACAATTACGGTCCTGGCTGTCCGGAGCATCAGAAGCCTGAAGGCCAGAGTACCGAGTCCATTCCCCGAGCAAAGATTGGCTCAGTCCCCTACGGAGGCAACGGTATCTATGGTGGATACTGGGCTTGCAAGGATCCGGGTCACGTCGCTATTACTTATGACGACGGACCAATGAAGGACACCACTGCAACTATCCTGGATCTTTTTAAGAAGTATGACGCAAAGGCTACTTTCTTTATTACTGGCAACAATATTGCCAAAGGACAGATTGACAAGACTCAAGAATTCATCGACGTGATTAAGCGTATGGATGCAGAGGGACATCAGATTGCGTCCCACACATGGACGCATCTCGACTTATCTAAGATTGATGCGGATACCCGTAAGCACCAAATCCTCAACGTGGAGGGCGCACTGAACAACATTATCGGGAAAATTCCGTCTTACGTTCGACCGCCTTATTCTAGCTGTACCTCGGACTCTGGTTGTGAGCAGTTTATGCAGGACATGGGTTACCACATCATCTACTTCAAGCTCGATACCGATGACTACCAGCAAAAGCCTCAAGGTACCTTCCAAAACTCGCTCGACTGGTTTAAGGGTAACATGACTGCGCCGGGTATGTCACCCGAGAAGAACTCTACTATTTCTATCTCGCACGACATTATCAACGAGACTGCCAACGAGCTCACTGAGCTCATGCTCAAGACTATTACCGAGCTTGGTTACAAGGGCGTTACTGTTGGCGAGTGTCTTGGTGACCCTAAGGACAACTGGTACCGTCAATTCGGCGACTCTGCCGACCGCGTTGGAGCGAACCACAGTTCAACATCGGTAAGCTCAAATTTTACGTTTATTCCTTCACAGGCACCATTGTCTACCCCATATACCCTACATCGTACTGAATTCCACATAGACCGCTTCAACGTCCGGCACCAGCGGAACATCCAGCTCGTCCTCCACTTCCGGGTCGCCTTTGAGTTCGCCTTCGGGCTCCAGCACCGCTTCCCGTGTTGCTGCTCCCGAGCAGACAGGAAGTGCCGCTACTTCTATTATACAAAACGCTAGCCTTAATATATTAGCATCTACGTTTGCACTTACTATCCTTGTCTTATAGAATAAACACAGTACCTAAGATGTTTTTCTTTGTAACAATATACTAGTTTTTAGATCCCTTGTAATATAATAGATAGAATTCATAACTAGTACTACTATAGGTTCTGCGTACGCCAGAGCTAATTAACAACTCTTTCTCAGTTCATTGTCCTCAAGTAAGCTAGGGTTGCTGCGCAGAGAGAGTCGATGTGGAAGTGAGACTAAGAGTGCGACTAACCTAAAGGGGTTTCTAGACAAAAGCAGACAAAAGCAGACAAAAGGATAGTGTGGTAGAAGGGCAGAAGAAGATTTTTGGTGGTGGGACGATGCTGGGACCGCAATAATGATGAATATGCATGCGGGTGTGCTTTGTGCATATTAGGAGTTGGCGGAGGTTATAAGATGGACTCCGTTGATCATACCAAAACCCCGGAAGTAGCAACGTCATATTTTTCTATTCTAGGCGAGCTACCTGCACTTTGCGCTGGCAAATAGTCATCTCTGCACAGCTTGGGGACGTGGTGGTCAGCCAGCCGCGGTTGTGGGTTGGTGCGGTACGACGCGGAAGAGACAACGCCGAGCAGCTTCGAGAGAACGGGGGTCCTGAACTCTCCGCCGCAGGTTGTACTAGGTGCAGTGACAAGAGTGCGGGCAAACGAGCTGCGCGGACGGAGCAAGCTCTCTGAGCGCATCGCCGAGTTCCAGCGCGCCAAGGCAGGGCCTGACATGCAAGGCAAGACGGCACAAATCCTCGAAGAGCGGGAAAGGCCCCTTTTTCGCGCGAATCAGAAGTCAATTGGCAAAATACTCAAAGCAGAAAGTGAGACGAAACAATGCACGTAGTGAGCGCCTTAAGAAACATTTAATTGGCTGTGGTTCTTCTGAGATGTTCGAGGCCTACGGAAACCTTACCGTGTCCGTGCGCGTAATGCCCTAGTTCGCGCAATGCCCTACCTAACATCATAAAAGCTTCAGAAATATAAGGCTGTAACGTGTTTTACAAGCGAGCGGGCCATACAAGCGAGCGGGCCATACAAGCGGGCGGGCCACCCCACCAACTTCGCGCATCTCTCATACTTTAATTAATCATGGCTCCACCAAATCAAGCCCAAAACGTTTCCTATGAAGCTGATATACAGCTAGCAATCTCAGCTATTAGTCAAGATCAAATCCAGTCTCATAGAGGTGCCGCGCTAGCGTACGAAGTCTCTCGAACGAAACCCATTTCCTTTTACACCGCATGACGCTTCTCGCTCAAACTGGACTGCGCAGGTACTTTGTGTGGACCTGAGTCTATTGAAAAAGTTCATGAGACGCGACTAGCTAATTTGTGGTCCAATAGTGGAATAGGACATTCTTGTAACGCGTAGTACACGGTAACTGAATACATACATCGTTTTCGTCTTGGCAGTGTGTACAACTTCACTTCCACGGAGATATAACCGATCGAAAAAACACTCTCTAATGGCTTTTTGCAGCTACTATCCCCTCCCGGATCCACACGACTCACCACGACTCCACAATGGCGAATGATAGTAACGCCTCCTCTTCTATCCACCAATACCTACCGAACTTCAGCGCTAATTTTATTCCTGGCAGCATTAGCAAATCAAAGTCCCCATCATTATACGATGACTAAAGGCAGGCGGTCAGAGACACTGTTCCACAAGCATTCGCAGATCCAAGTACGGCGACATTAATGCACAAGATGGCGAACTCCTGCAAAGAAAGCCGGAAGAATGACCATGTGTGTGAGGGGTAGTTATAGGCAATAGTATTTGCTTCACACTACAAGAGAATAGTGGGGGAAAGCTCTGTATTACTACACTAGGTGGGGAGGTCGTGAGAATAATTCTTGCCCCTCTGCTAACGCGCGGGGCGCAGCTTATGAGCAGGTTTGGAGGCCAAGGCGATTACGAGAAAAGCAAACATGTTGAGACCATAATCGTCCCGTGTTACACTCGAATATTGTTGGGGTGGCTCACACGGCGAACTGGCTCACATGGCGCACGGGCACTGTATACGCTACTGCTTCCCCTTCTTCTCCTTAATATTAACACCAAAGACATTTAGCTGTGCTCGGCTCCCCCGTTCCACAGGTCTTGAATCGGGATCTTTATTCTTCTCTTTAGCCTCTCGTCTCGCCTTGCGATCACGCCACCGCTCGCGCCAGGACATAGCTTTTAGACGCTCATCTTGTTCACGCTGCTCGGCTGTCACTGGCGCACATACAGCGTTGATTCTAGCCGCGATCACCTCGTTGTTCGCCGCTTTCGTCTGAGGTGTCTTGGTCTCCCAGAATGGCGGTGGCAGATTCTTGATGTAGTCGGCATAAGATTCTTTGGCCGCTTGTGATTCCTGAGTTGTTTGTGGTTCTTGGGGTACTGCTGGATCTTTTGGGGTTGCAAGGTTTACGTCATCGCGGAGGTCTGAGCGAGCAATTGAGCTCCCCTGTTTAAGGTCGGCAGAGGCATTGTAGGTATTCTCATAGGGCATTTTGGCCGAAGGTTGTAAGTGGAGAGATTATTGAACGAGTACATTTGAGTACACGGAGCTGTCCTGTGTGCCACTTTGTTGGAAGGAAGCCTGGAGCGGGGCTCCATTGCGAGATCTCACCTAAGCGTAAGCTGCGTGTCGAACGCTCGGAGTACGCCTGAAATCTGTGTGGGAATCCGTCGGAAACTACTGCCGAAGTGGTTGCAACCTAACCTACAGGATGCCACCGAGGGGCCCGATCGGTGTCAAGGCCCGCTCGAAACGGTATAGAGCTAGAGCCGCTAAGCTCAACCCCAACAACGCCAACATCAGACGCAACGCAGCAGCAACGTGCTCCACTACGATCTTCAACTGCAGTAACACTTAACGAAGTGCAAGACCAGCTTCTTTTTCTAGAGCAGCATCGCCTGCTTGTATGCAGAGAGCACCGCACAGGCATCCAGAACGTCGACGTCCACCTGCGCAGCCAGCACGCTGCGGTAGCAGGCGCGGAGAGAAAGGCTATTGTAGACTACTGCCGTCCTGGCAGGTAGCTACACCGCAGGATGTCGAGCTACAGCCGCCGCTAGGGCCGCCAATTGAAGAGCTAGGCGAGCCGCTAGATGCGTGTCAATGCCAGCATAATAGTATGTGTAGCTTAAGCTTTATTACGGTAAGCAAAGATATGCTACAGAAGCACTGTAAGAAGGAGCATAAGCAGGCGTGGGGAGGCGAGACAAGTACGTTGTATAAGAAGGTTGAGGCGCAGACATTCTTTCGAGTAGACGGACTGCAGCGGTACTTTATTGTAGATGCAGCAGACAGCAGCGACGATACACCGTGCATTCCCCGCAAGGTAGCTGGCGTTGTCAGCGAGCGGCTTGTAGAGTGAAAGTTGACGAAGATCAGACGCAGGTCATGGACGCTCAAGTCGCGAAAACAGACAAGACTGGCTGGTTCAAGCGGACAGGCTGGCTAGAGTACTTCGCTAACCGTAATATAATGCATCTCGCGCATCAGATCCGGCTGCCCGATAGAGGCGAGGAGAAGCTGCGGCGGGCGGGGCCAGGTCCGCCCTTCCTGCAATTTTTTCATCGTCATCCGTTATCGTCTTCCGTATACTCTTCCAGCTGAGGAAATTTCGTAGCCGCGCTATTCTCGGAGCATTATAACGCAACTAGAAGATTGTGTCGTCATGAAAGAAGGTACAAGACTCGCGTTGAGCAGCTAGATCCTTAGCAGTCGTCAGCTAGAGAGTAGAGATGTTCATTAGTTTCCGGAGCACTGCAGCTCATTGAAAGTGCATAAGAGAGAGACACTAACCATTAGTACCGCCTTATCTCTACTGTGTCGAATAGCCGCATCGAGGTTAACGCCGATTTGTACCAGATGGTTCTCGAAGTTCTTTAATACTGCTGGCTGTAGCACATTGTCGAGCTGGACTGATCTATCTCGTGGATTCCATAAGTAAGAAAGAGTTTCATATATAAGATTGTCCTGCAGGTCGTCGAAGCTGCTAGGAAGTATGTCTACGACCCTAATCTCGGTGGGCCCTAGCTCGCTATATGGAGCGCACGATGAAGCGCGATTACCCTTGTGCGCCCTCAGACAGTCTATGCCGTCTTCGACGTCATGCAGCTTGCAACGTATGTCCAAAGCCTCGCTTTGATCGTAAGTGCAGTATCTACGTTAGGGCCTCTGTCTAGTGAAATTCTGAAGACCTTGGCTTTCGTGATTAAAAAAGTGTGGTAATCGCTATGTGGAGCTGTAAGCATAGGGTGGTCGTAGTATAAGGTCACATGAATGAGTGTATTCTTCTGTGTATCTACAAATGTGTGATCTGAGCTCTTAAGTAGTCGGACGCATTAGTCATGCCTGCAGAGCAGTCATGTGATGCGGTCCTAGGCTTACAGGAGCTGCTGGTGGGTTGCCGTTGAAGGCAGGCTGAGCAGTGTTGCGTTTCAAGATCTACCCCTTGTACACGAGGCTAGATGCTTTCGTGCAGCAGTTCGTAAAACAAACTGCCCCGTGTCCATACAATTCACAGTTAATAGGCGTCTGCCTGAAGAAGGAGAGGCCGCTTCGCAACCACGCGGATTCAAAACTCTATTTCTCGCATCTGACATGCCTACCGTCGTTTCTTTAGTGAGCGCTTCGGGAACATGTAGATGACTTTTTCGCATGCAAAAGGTAACGGGCAGACAACACTCCACAAGATCGGAGCTCATAGTCTATCGTCACCGAATCAGAATCGATGCGCCACTTGATACAGTTTCTATCTATCGTGCTATCCTGCTTATTGTTCTCACGTATCGCAGCTATCCACAATCTTCCTGATGCTGCCACTTGGGATCGCGATCGTTGACACGCCATACTCTGTGATGGTAACCGGAAGAAAGGTCAATATGCCTTTAGTGGTACCTGACGAAACAACTGTGATGCATGGATAGTCGATGGTCGCAGTAGTTTCGGCCGGAAACGGTGGCAAAACGAGTGTGCAAGGGAAGAAACACGAGATCCTGGGATTTGGGTCCTCCTAGATCTTCGGATCGATCCATACCAGGTCCTTGCCTGTACTCACTACACTATTATCGCCGCTCCATCCCCACTGACTTTAGCGTCGAAATCAATCGATCAGATCATGATGCCGCTAAGGCACCTATTATCAGCGAATGCACGCGTCAAAGCGAATGTCTCCTCGTTATTATAGCCTATCCGGCTATCGCCTAAGTACGTAAAGTACTTAACTATGGCTGTAGAGTTGAGGTAGGGCGTGATGTTCTGTTCTTGTATCACTTTGCGTATCTCACGATTCGACATGATGCGTGCGGAGTGTGTGCACGGCCCCGCAGCTAACCTTCTCTTTGTAGTAAAGCTGCAGCCTATTGTTCTACAGTTAGATTCTGCAAGCTTGTACAAGCGACTGTAGTAGGCAAACCCCATGTTGAACTTCTCGAGCCTGACGCCGTCAAACTACAGCGAAGTTAGACTTTTGTCAACTTCGGTACAGTGCCCGTGCACCCAACGCCCGGAGTCATTGAACGCCCGGCACGCAACATCTACACAGTATTTCAACGCGTAACAACTTAACAACTATGCTAGGCCTGCAAGATGCGCTTGCAGAGATTCGTAATTTAGACCTAGGCGATAAACTTGTCTATACAAATATTGCTCAAAAACACGGTGTTTCGCGCACAACGTTGTCCCGCGCGCACCGCGGTGTGCAGGTCCCTTAGGGCGTCGCTGACCCAAACTAACGAAAGCTCACCCCACAACAAGAAGCAGACCTTGTGCAGTATATAGAAACACTGTTAGCGCGTTACTTGCCACCTACGAGAGCTATAGTACAAAATTTCGCGTCTAAAGTAGCCTAAGATCCTTGCTCTAATAGCTGGGTTACACGCTTCCTGCACCGTTACTGCGACCAACTTACCTGCTACTAGGCGACGGGTATGGACTCTAATCGCCATAACGCTAAGTCTAGATATAAGTATAAGCTTTACTTTGACCTACTACAGCAGAAGATTACTAAGTATAACGTTGAGCTAGAGAATACGTACAATATAGATAAGAAGGGCTTCGCAATTAGGGTACTTAGAAGGTCGAAGCGCATCTTTAGAAGGCGTTAATATAAGAAGAAGGAGGTTAGGCAGGCTTGTTAAGATAGCTTACGTGAGTGGGTAAGCTTGTTAGCTACAATCTGCGCAGATAGTACTGCTCTGCCTCCTAGCATTATATTCGCATTAAAAAACTCCACAATCTAGAGCTATTGGGTGGCCGATATTGAGGCAGGAACACACCTAATTCACGTGGCTTCTTCGCCTACTAGCTGGACAAATAATGATATTAGATTAGCTTGGCTTAAATAGGTATTTAACCGCTATATAAAGCTAAAGGCGTGCAGAAGTTATAGGCTTTTAATAGTAGATGGCCACGGGAGTCACCTAACGCAGGACTTTATTGACTACTGCGATTAAAATCGAATTATACTCGCTGTGTTGCTACCTTATAGTACACAGACGCTGCAGCCGTTGGACGTAGTCTGCTTCAAGCTACTCTCCTCCGCCTACGCCTCCGAGCTCGATGACTACCTCTAGAAGTCTCAAGGCCTATCGCTATTAACGAAAGGTGACTTCTTCTACCTATTCTGGCCTGCCTAGGTGCACACATTTGAGGAAGAGCTTATACAAAACGCCTTCACTGCTACAGGGATAAGCCTAATGAACCCTAACGTTATACTGGATAGATTCCGCCACGCAACACCTAGCGACTCAGGCTCAGTTTCTTCTAGTTCTACAGCCTATTCTGCAGAGGATTGGCTTAGAGCTTGCACTACACTGCATGCAGAGGTGAAGGATCCTCGCAGTGCAGGTGCACGGAAGCTTGGCTAAACTATCTACTACCTATCGACACAGGTAGAGCTCCTTTACAACGAACTAGAAGGCTTGCGGCAGAAGCTATACCTAAAACAGAAGCGTTAGAAGCAACCTAGCAGGCAATTAGACTTGCAACAGCACTAGGAGTATTACGGCGGGGCGATGGTGTAGTCTCCTCGAGCTATTTAAGAGGCGCGCGTCCGCATAGCAGTTACTGAGCAAGAGAAGGAGGAAGAAGAGCTAAGAAAGGCAGAGATGAAGGAGTTAGCAGCTGCTAATAAGCTATACAAGGAGAAGATTGAGGAAGAGAAGCGTTAAAAGCGGGCGAGGGAGAAGGAAGAGCGTGCAAAGGTTAAGGCAGAGGAACGCCGAGCAATAGACGCGCGGAAGGCTGCCAGAGCCGCTGCTAAACAGGCTCGCGACTCTGCAAAAGGTATACAACAGTCCCAAAGAGGCAAATCTACAACCTTAAAAGCTTCTGTAGTCAAACCAAAGCCTGCGCGTCGTGCTGTAGGTGCTCGTAGTCGCCCGAAGCCTGCGACGCCTCCTCCGCCCGTGCGAACCCACACTACACGTAGCGGCCGCACCGCCACCTTATATAAATAATATATATAGAGGAACTTGATCGCATATGTCTATAGAGTA